GATTACAGGCTTGAGCCACCGCGCCCGGCCTATGCTCAGTTTTTGCCAGCTGTCTCAAAAATATCTCTCTGTAGTTTGTCTGAATCAAAATGGTCCAGTGAGAGCCACTGAAAGTTTGCTTCCTTCATAAAAGCATTGAAAAACCTGCCACACACTATAAGAATCAACTTTCAGAGAACTCTGGAAATTCACCAAAAGCTTGCAGCAACCCAGAGAGCTTCAGCTGAAAAAAAATAATTTTGATGAATTCCAGTAGGAACAGCTAGTTATGTGGTATTTTACATTATCAGATTTTAAATCAGCTATTTTAAACAACATATTCAAAGAGCCAAAGGAAGCCATGTCTAAAGAAATACAGGAAAGAGCCAGGCGTAGTGGCTCACATCTATAATCCCAACATTTTGGGAGGCCAAGGCAGGGGGATCACAATGTCAGGAGTTCGAGACCAGCCTGGCCAACATTGTGAAACCCAGACTCCTAAAAATGCAAAAATTAGCTGGGTGTGGTGGCGCGCACCTGTAATCCCAGATACTCAGGAGGCTGAGACAAGAGAATCACCTCAACCTGGGAGGCAGAGGTTGCAGTGAGCTGAGATCATGCCACTGCACTCCAGCCTGGGCAACAGTGAGACTCCATCTAAGAAAAAAAAAGAGGCCAGGCAAGGTGACTCACGCCTGTAATCCCCGCACTTTGGGAGGCCGAGGCAGGTGGATCACAAGGTCAGGAGGTTGAGACCATCCTGGCCAACATGGTGAAACCCTATCTCTATAAAAATAAATAAATAAATAAATAAATAATAAAAAGAAATACAGGAAAGAATAAGAATGATGTCCAAACAGAGAATAACAAAGAAGAGAGAAAACTAGAGTGGGTAAGAAAGCACAAATTCTGGATTTGGAAAGTACAATAACTGAAATGAGAAATTCACTAAAGACGTTCAATAGTAGATCTGACAGAAAAAGAATCAGCAAACTTGAAGATAGATTCATTGACATTAACCTCTGTGAGGAAAAGAAAGAAACAAGAATGAAGAAAAATGAGCAAAACTTCTAAAACCTTTGGGATTCCACCAAATGTACCAATATACACAAAGAGAAGGGGGCAAAATATCGGAAGAAATGCTTGAAAATGTCTCACATTTGATGGAAAATAATAATCTACCTATCCGAGAAACTCCATGAACTGCATGTAGGTTAAACACAAAGAACTCCATACCTAGACATATCATAATCAACCCTCAAAAGACAGAATTTTGGCCGGGCGTGGTGGCTCACACTTGTAATCCCAACACTTTGGGAGGCCAAGGCAGGTGGATCACAAGGTCAAGAGATTGAGACCATCCTGGCCAACATGGTGAAACCCCGGCGGCGCACGCCTGTAGTCCCAGCTACTTGGGAGACTGAGGCAGGAGAATTGCTTGAACCCGGGAGGCGGAGGTTGCAGTGAGCCGAGATCGCTCCACGGCACTCCAGCCTGGCGCCTGGCGACAGAGTAAGACTCTGTCTCAAAAAA